GAGTGACCTGATGAATGCACAGAGTGACCTGATGAATGCACAGAGTGACCTGATGAATGCACAGAGTGACCTGATGAATGTACAGAGTGACCTGATGAATGCACAGAGTGACCTGATGAATGCACAGAGTGACCTGATGAATGTACAGAGTGACCTGATGAATGCACAGAGTGACCTGATGAATGCACAGAGTGACCTGATGAATGCACAGAGTGACCTGATGAATGCACAGAGTGATCTGATGAATGCACAGAGTGACCTGATGAATGTACAGAGTGAGCTGATGGTCTCTCTCTGGTCTCTTTCTGGTCTATTTCTAGTCTCTTTCTGGTCTCTTTCTAGTCTCTCTGGTCTCTTTCTGGTCTCTCTCTCTTGTCTCTCTCTGGACTCTCTCTCTCTCTGGTCTGTCTCTGGTTTCTCTCTGGTCTCTTTCTGGTCTCTCTCTCTTGTCTCTCTCCGGTCTCTTTCTGGTCTCTTTCTAGTCTCTTTCTGGTCCCTCTCTCCTGTCTCTTTCTGGTGTTGTGCAATTTAGTGTAAATTGTTCCATAGTTACAGCTTTTTAAAATGTATTTTGTATTATTTTATTTACACAACTACCTTGTCTTGTTGTGTGTAGTTGTTAGTTGTAGCCGTGTGTGCGTCTGAGAGTGTCACGTGTCAAACAGCAGTGTGTTTGTTTTGCAGCTTTGAAATAAATCTCCAGTTTGATGAGTGCCTTTACTTCATTTATATTGTTTCACTCTGCGTCACTCTGCACTCACTCTGCGTCACTCTGCGTCACTCTGCGTCACTCTGCGCACTCTGTCACTCTGCACTCACTCTGCACTCACTCTGCACTCACTCTGCGTCACTCTGCGTCACTCTGCGTCACTCTGCACTCACTCTGGTCACTCTGCACTCACTCTGCACTCACTCTGCACTCACTCTGCACTCACTCTACACTCACTCTGCGGTCACTCTGCACTCACTCTGCGTCACTCTGCACTCACTCTGCACTCACTCTGCACTCACTCTGCGGTCACTCTGCGTCACTCTGCGTCACTCTGCACTCACTCTGCACTCACTCTGCGGTCACTCTGCACTCACTCTGCGTCACTCTGCACTCACTCTGCACTCACTCTGCACTCACTCTGCACTCACTCTGCACTCACTCTGCACTCACTCTGCACTCACTCTGCGTCACTCTGCACTCACTCTGCGGTCACTCTGCGTCACTCTGCACTCACTCTGCACTCACTCTGCGTCACTCTGCACTCACTCTGCACTCACTCTGCACTCACTCTGCGTCACTTTGCACTCACTCTGCACTCACTCTGCGGTCACTCTGCGTCACTCTGCACTCACTCTGCGTCACTCTGCACTCACTCTGCGTCACTCTGCACTCACTCTGCACTCACTCTGCGTCACTCTGCACTCACTCTGCACTCACTCTGCGTCACTCTGCACTCACTCTGCACTCACTCTGCGTCACTCTGCACTCACTCTGCACTCACTCTGCGCTCACTCTGCGCTCACTCTGCACTCACTCTGCACTCACTCTGCACTCACTCTGCGTCACTTTGCACTCACTCTGCGTCACTCTGCGTCACTTTGCACTCACTTTGCACTCACTCTGCGTCACTCTGCACTCACTCTGCGGTCACTCTGCGTCACTCTGCACTCACTCTGCACTCACTCTGCGTCACTCTCACTCTGCACTCACTCTGCACTCACTCTGCACTCACTCTGCGTCACTCTGCACTCACTCTGCGCTCACTCTGCACTCACTCTGCACTCACTCTGCACTCACTCTGCACTCACTCTGCACTCACTCTGCGTCACTCTGCACTCACTCTGCGGTCACTCTGCGTCACTCTGCACTCACTCTGCACTCACTCTGCGTCACTCTGCACTCACTCTGCACTCACTCTGCACTCACTCTGCACTCACTCTGCGTCACTTTGCACTCACTCTGCACTCACTCTGCGTCACTCTGCGTCACTTTGCACTCACTTTGCACTCACTCTGCACTCACTCTGCGTCACTCTGCACTCACTTTGCACTCACTCTGCACTCACTCTGCGTCACTTTGCACTCACTTTGCACTCACTCTGCACTCACTCTGCACTCACTCTGCACTCACTCTGCGTCACTCTGCACTCACTTTGCACTCACTCTGCGTCACTCTGCACTCACTCTGCACTCACTCTGCACTCACTCTGCGTCACTCTGCACTCACTCTGCACTCACTCTGCACTCACTCTGCGTCACTTTGCACTCACTTTGCACTCACTCTGCACTCACTCTGCACTCACTCTGCACTCACTCTGCACTCACTCTGCACTCACTTTGCACTCACTCTGCGTCACTCTGCACTCACTCTGCGTCACTCTGCGTCACTCTGCACTCACTCTGCACTCACTCTGCACTCACTCAGCGTCACTCTGCGGTCACTCTGCGGTCACTCTGCGGTCACTCTGCACTCACTCTGCGTCACTCTGCACTCACTCTGCACTCACTCTGCACTCACTCTGCGTCACTCTGCACTCACTCTCCACTCACTCTGCACTCACTCTGCGTCACTCTGCACTCACTCTGCACTCACTCTGCACTCACTCTGCACTCACTCTGCGGTCACTCTGCGTCACTCTGCGTCACTCTGCACTCACTCTGCACTCACTCTGCGTCACTCTGCACTCACTCTCCACTCACTCTGCACTCACGCTGCGTCACTCTGCACTCACTCTGCGGTCACTCTGCGGTCACTCTGCGTCCCTCTGCACTCACTCTGCGTCACTCTGCACTCACTCTGCACTCACTCTGCACTCACTCTGCACTCACTTTGCGTCACTCTGCGTCACTCAGCGTCACTCTGCACTCACTCTGCACTCACTCTGCGTCACTCTGCACTCACTCTGCACTCACTTTGCGTCACTCTGCGTCACTCTGCACTCACTCTGCACTCACTCTGCGTCACTCTGCACTCACTCTGCACTCACTCTGCGTCACTCTGCGTCACTCTGCACTCACTTTGCGTCACTCTGCATTCACTCTGCACTCACTTTGCGTCACTCTGCGTCACTCTGCACTCACTCTGCACTCACTCTGCACTCACTCTGCGTCACTCTGCACTCACTCTGCACTCACTCTGCACTCACTCTGCGTCACTCTGCACTCACTCTGCACTCACTCTGCACTCACTCTGCGTCACTTTGCACTCACTTTGCACTCACTCTGCGTCACTTTGCACTCACTTTGCACTCACTCTGCACTCACTCTGCACTCACTCTGCGTCACTCTGCACTCACTCTGCACTCACTTTGCGTCACTCTGCGTCACTCTGCACTCACTCTGCACTCACTCTGCGTCACTCTGCGTCACTCTGCACTCACTTTGCGTCACTCTGCACTCACTCTGCACTCACTCTGCACTCACTCTGCACTCACTCTGCGTCACTCTGCGCACTCACTCTGCACTCACTCACTCACTCTGCGTCACTCTGCACTCACTCTGCACTCACTCTGCGTCACTCTGCGTCACTCTGCACTCACTCACTCTGCACTCACTCTGCGTCACTCTGCGTCACTTTGCACTCACTTTGCACTCACTCTGCACTCACTCTGCGTCACTCTGCACTCACTTTGCACTCACTCTGCACTCACTCTGCGTCACTTTGCACTCACTTTGCACTCACTCTGCACTCACTCTGCACTCACTCTGCACTCACTCTGCACTCACTCTGCACTCACTCTGCACTCACTCTGCACTCACTCTGCACTCACTCTGCACTCACTCTGCACTCACTCTGCGTCACTCTGCACTCACTCTGCACTCACTCTGCACTCACTCTGCGTCACTCTGCACTCACTTTGCACTCACTCTGCACTCACTCTGCACTCACTCTGCACTCACTCTGCACTCACTCTGCACTCACTCTGCACTCACTCTGCACTCACTCTGCACTCACTCTGCACTCACTCTGCACTCACTCTGCACTCACTCTGCACTCACTCTGCACTCACTCAGCGTCACTCTGCGGTCACTCTGCGTCACTCTGCACTCACTCTGCACTCACTCTGCGTCACTCTGCACTCACTCTGCACTCACTCTGCACTCACTCTGCGTCACTCTGCATCACTCTGCACTCACTCTGCACTCACTCTGCGTCACTCTGCACTCACTCTGCACTCACTCTGCACTCACTCTGCACTCACTCTGCGTCACTCTGCACTCACTCTGCACTCACTCTGCACTCACTCTGCGTCACTCTGCACTCACTCTGCTCGCACTCACTCTGCACTCACTCTGCGTCACTCTGCACTCACTCTCACTCATCTGCACTCACTCTGCGTCACTCTGCACTCACTCTGCGGTCACTCTGCGTCACTCTGCGTCCTCTGCACTCACTCTGCACTCACTCTGCACTCACTCTGCACTCACTCTGCACTCACTCTGCACTCACTCTGCACTCACTCTGCGTCACTCTGCGTCACTCTGCGTCACTCTGCACTCACTCTGCACTCACTCTGCGTCACTCTGCACTCACTCTGCACTCACTCTGCACTCACTCTGCGTCACTCTGCACTCACTCTGCACTCACTCTGCACTCACTCTGCGTCACTCTGCACTCACTCTGCACTCACTCTGCGTCACTCTGCGTCACTCTGCACTCACTTTGCACTCACTCTGCATTCACTCTGCACTCTGCACTCTGCGTCACTCTGCTCACTCTGCACTCACTCTGCACTCACTCTGCACTCACTCTGCGTCACTCTGCACTCACTCTGCACTCACTCTGCACTCACTCTGCGTCACTCTGCACTCACTCTGCACTCACTCTGCACTCACTCTGCGTCACTTTGCACTCCTTTGCACTCACTCTGCACTCACTCTGCGTCACTTTGCACTCACTTTGCACTCACTCTGCACTCACTCTGCACTCACTCTGCGTCACTCTGCACTCACTCTGCACTCACTCTGCACTCACTCTGCACTCACTTTGCGTCACTCTGCGTCACTCTGCACTCACTCTGCACTCACTCTGCACTCACTCTGCGTCACTCTGCACTCACTTTGCGTCACTCTGCACTCACTCTGCACTCACTCTGCACTCACTCTGCGTCACTCTGCACTCACTTTGCACTCACTCTGCGTCACTCTGCACTCACTCTGCGTCACTCTGCGTCACTCTGCACTCACTTTGCACTCACTCTGCACTCACTCTGCACTCACTCTGCACTCACTCTGCACTCACTCTGCACTCACTCTGCTCACTCTGCACTCACTCTGCACTCACTCTGCACTCACTCTGCACTCACTTTGCACTCACTCTGCACTCACTCTGCACTCACTCTGCGTCACTTTGCACTCACTTTGCACTCACTCTGCACTCACTCTGCACTCACTCTGCGTCACTTTGCACTCACTTTGCACTCACTCTGCACTCACTCTGCACTCACTCTGCGTCACTCTGCACTCACTCTGCACTCACTCTGCGTCACTCTGCACTCACTTTGCACTCACTCTGCGTCACTCTGCACTCACTCTGCGTCACTCTGCGTCACTCTGCACTCACTTTGCACTCACTCTGCGTCACTCTGCACTCACTCTGCACTCACTCTGCACTCACTCTGCACTCACTCTGCGTCACTTTGCACTCACTTTGCACTCACTCTGCACTCACTCTGCGTCACTTTGCACTCACTTTGCACTCACTCTGCACTCACTCTGCACTCACTCTGCGTCACTTTGCACTCACTTTGCACTCACTCTGCACTCACTCTGCACTCACTCTGCGTCACTCTGCACTCACTCTGCACTCACTCTGCGTCACTCTGCACTCACTTTGCACTCACTCTGCGTCACTCTGCACTCACTCTGCGTCACTCTGCGTCACTCTGCACTCACTTTGCACTCACTCTGCGTCACTCTGCACTCACTCTGCACTCACTCTGCACTCACTCTGCACTCACTCTGCGTCACTTTGCACTCACTTTGCACTCACTCTGCACTCACTCTGCGTCACTTTGCACTCACTTTGCACTCACTCTGCACTCACTCTGCACTCACTCTGCGTCACTCTGCACTCACTCTGCACTCACTCTGCGTCACTCTGCACTCACTTTGCACTCTGCGTCACTCTGCACTCACTCTGCGTCACTCTGCACTCACTTTGCACTCACTCTGCGTCACTCTGCACTCACTCTGCGTCACTCTGCACTCACTCTGCGTCACTCTGCGGTCACTCTGCACTCACTCTGCGGTCACTCTGCACTCACTCTGCACTCACTCTGCACTCACTCTGCGTCACTCTGCACTCACTCTGCGTCACTCTGCACTCACTCTGCACTCACTCTGCGTCACTCTGCACTCACTCTGCACTCACTCTGCGTCACTCTGCACTCACTTTGCACTCACTCTGCACTCACTCTGCGTCACTCTGCACTCACTCTGCGTCACTCTGCGGTCACTCTGCACTCACTCTGCATCACTCTGCACTCACTCTGCACTCACTCTGCACTCACTCTGCGTCACTCTGCACTCACTCTGCGTCACTCTGCACTCACTCTGCACTCACTCTGCGTCACTCTGCACTCACTCTGCACTCACTCTGCACTCACTCTGCGCTCACTCTGCACTCACTCTGCACTCACTCTGCGCTCACTCTGCCTCACTCTGCTCACTCTGCGTCTCACTCTGCGCTCACTCTGCACTCACTCTGCACTCACTCTGCGTCACTCTGCGCTCACTCTGCACTCACTCTGCGTCACTCTGCGTCACTCTGCACTCACTCTGCACTCACTCTGCGGTCACTCTGCGCTCACTCTGCACTCACTCTGCGTCACTCTGCACTCACTCTGCACTCACTCTGGGTCACTCTGCGTCACTCTGCGTCACTCTGCACTCACTCTGCACTCACTCTGCGTCACTCACTCTGCACTCACACTGCAGCTCACTCTGCGTCACTCTGCACTCACTCTGCACTCACTCTGCACTCACTCTGCGTCACTCTGCGTCACTCTGCACTCACTCTGCACTCACTCTGCGGTCACTCTGCACTCACTCTGTGGTCACTCTGCGGTCACTCTGCGTCACTCTGCGTCACTCTGCACTCACTCTGTGGTCACTCTGCGTGACCCCGTACTCCCGGAGAACCCCCCAAAGGACACCCGGGGAACACGGTCAAACGCCTTCTCCAAATCCACAAAGCACATGTGGACTGAGGCGAACTCGAGTATCCGATGGAGAGTATAGAGCTGGTCCAGTGTTCCACGACCGGGACCAAAACTACACTGCTCCTCCTGGATCTGAGGTTCAACCATCGGCCATAACCTCCTCTCCAGTACCGTGGACTGAATTGTGTCTTAATTTATGTGTGAAATATGTGTGTGAATTAGTTACAGACGTGTGTGTGTCATGTGTGTGTATTAGTTACAGTTGTGTGTCAACAATATTCATCCCCAACCTACCGTGATGTAAACATTGTGTGTCTTTTTTCTGAAAGTGATTTTAATTCATTCTTTTCCAAAAGCATCAAAAATATCATGATTTGGGTCAAACCAAAACACTTCCATGGTCTCTTCCACAGAGATGCCCCTGATGCCCCGCCACACAGAGCTGCCCCTGATGCCCTGCCACATAGAGCTGTGGGGCAAAACACCACAGAGGAAACTAGAAATAATTGGCCGTGCCTCCCCCGTCTCTCCCCCGTCTCTCCCCCGTCTCTCCCCCGTCCTCCCCCGTGTCTCCCCCGTCTCTCCCCCGTCCTGCTCGGCCACAGACATAATTAACACTGGCCTCGCGCTGAGGCCTGGAGAAGAAATCTGCTGTTTGGGCAGAAAAACGAGCGGTAACATATTGTGGCGGCGCTGCTCCTTCGCTCACGCTAAGACCGTAATGAACCCACGCAAAGACCGTAATGAACCTGCGCAAAGACCGTAATGAACCTGCGCAAAGACCGTAATGAACCCACGCAAAGACCGTAATGAACCTGCGCAAAGACCGTAATGAACCTGCGCAAAGACCGTAATGAACCTGCGCAAAGACCGTAATGAACCTGCGCTCGCCGCACGGAAAGTCGCTCATTCATAAAATCACAACGTGTGACTATTACTCTAATTACAAAGCACGTCGGCCCCAATTAGCCCAGTGCTCTGCCTCTGTTTGATTTGTCATTAACACAGGCCTGGTAATTACAGGTTTGAGGAGCAGGGGGGAGGAGGGGGGGAGGAGGTGGAGGGGGAGGAGGGGGAGGGAGGGAGGGTGAGGCATTATCTGGCCCACACAACAAGCTGTTAACTCCTGGATCCTTCTGCTCTTAGCTAATGATGGAGGCCACTCAGGCTGTGTGTGTGTGTGTGTGTGTGTGTGTGTGTGTGTGTGTGTGTGAGTGTGTGTCATATACAATATGTATGTGTTACTTACAGATGTGTGTCTGTAGGGAGGTCATGCATGACTCATTATTACACACACACAAACACACACATAGACACGCACACACACGCACACTCACACACATACACAGACACACAGACACAGAAATATCTCCCTTGGATTCTCCAAAGTGCTATTGGAGAATCTGGTTTGAACACAGTCAGAATGCCTCTCTCTGGCCTCTCTCTGGCCTCTCTCTGGTCTCTCTCTGGTCTCTCTCTGGTCTCTCTCTGGTCTCTCTCTGGTCTCTCTCTGGTCTCACTCTGGTCTCTCTCTGGTCTCTCTCTGGCCTCTCTCTGGTCTCTCTCTGGTCTCTCTCTGGTCTCACTCTGGTCTCTCTCTGGTCTCACTCTGGTCTCTCTCTGGTCTCTCTCTGGTCTCTCTCTGGTCTCTCTCTGGCCTCTCTCTGGTCTCTCTCTGGCCTCTCTCTGGTCTCTCTCTGGTCTCTCTCTGGTCTCACTCTGGTCTCTCTCTGGTCTCACTCTGGTCTCTCTCTGGTCTCTCTCTGGTCTCTCTCTTGTCTCTCTCTTGTCTCTCTCTGGTCTCTCTCTCTGGTCTCACTGGTCTCTCTCTGGTCTCTCTCTCTGGTCTCACTGGTCTCACTCTGGTCTCTCTCTCTGGTCTCACTGGTCTCTCTCTGGTCTCTCTCTGGTCTCTCTCTGGTCTCTCTCTCTCTGGTCTCTCTCTCTGGTCCCTCTCTGGTCTCTCTCTGGTCTCTCTCTGGTCTCACTCTAGTCTCTCTCTGGTCTCACTCTGGTCTCTCTCTGGTCTCACTCTGGTCTCTCTCTCTCTCTCTGTCTCTCTCTGGTCTCTCTCTCTGGTCTCACTGGTCTCTCTCTGGTCTCTCTCTCTGGTCTCACTGGTCTCTCTCTGGTCTCTCTCTGGTCTCTCTCTGGTCTCTCTCTCTGGTCTCTCTCTCTCTGGTCTCTCTCTCTGGTCTCACTGGTCTCACTCTGGTCTCTCTCTCTGGTCTCTCTCTCTGGTCTCACTGGTCTCACTCTGGTCTCTCTCTGGTCTCTCTCTGGTCCCTCTCTGGTCTCTCTCTGGTCTCACTCTGGTCTCTCTCTCTGGTCTCACTGGTCTCTCTCTGGTCTCTCTCTGGTCTCTCTCTGGTCTCTCTCTGGTCTCTCTCTCTCTGGTCTCTCTCTCTGGTCTCACTGGTCTCACTCTGGTCTCTCTCTCTGGTCTCTCTCTGGTCTCTCTCTGGTCTCTCTCTCTGGTCTCACTGGTCTCTCTCTGGTCTCTCTCTGGTCTCTCTCTCTGGTCTCTCTGGTCTCTCTCTGGTCTCTCTCTCTGGTCTCACTGGTCTCTCTCTGGTCTCTCTCTGGTCTCTCTCTGGTCTCTCTCTCTGGTCTCTCTCTGGTCTCTCTCTGGTCTCTCTCTTGGTCTCTCTCTGGTCTCTCTCTTGTCTCTCTCTCTGGTCTCTCTCTGGTCTCTCTCTCTGGTCTCTCTCTCTGGTCTCTCTCTGGTCTCTCTCTGGTCTCTCTCTGGTCTCTCTCTCTGGTCTCTCTCTGGTCTCTCTCTGGTCTCTCTCTCTGGTCTCTCTCTGGTCTCTCTCTCTGGTCTCTCTCTGGTCTCTCTCTGGTCT